TCTCGGGAGAGCTCTTCATGAAGAGAGTGGTGTTGAGCTTGCATCCGGACGCCGGATGACTTATCTAGACTACGCCGATGATATCGCCCCACTTACCTATGTTTTGGCGGTCTACAGTATCGCTGCGGCCGTGTCGCAAGGATATGCCAGACCTTCCAATAAAGACGACTGAGGTGGTTTGGGCATGCTCCCCATTTTCCGCCCCGCGAGCTTCGTTAAACTGTCCTCGATCCGACGCCGCAGCCCACCTGGAGGCGCCGAAGAGGAGGGAAACTCAAGACTTGTCTCGGTAACGTTTGTCAAGACATGAAAGCGGTTTTTGGACCTTCGATTTTCGCTCTCCGTCACTGGATAAGAGAATGAGTGACGCCTTCCAGATTCACTGCCACTAATCGTCACACGCGGAGAGGTACCGTCCGTGACATCATTTAGGTTGGTTAGATCAGTCAGTTTAATAGTCGTATCAAGTACAAGCAAAATTAGTAGCCCTGCCTTTATCATTCACCTATGGGTACTAAGACTTAGCTTTCTCGTATGTGAAGCTGTATTTTCAAATTCGGTTCAATTCTATATTAAGGCCGGCTAATGAAGAACCCCTCAGCATGTCGGGGTCCAGTTATATACCTTGTCATTGATCAGGAATTGAAAGTTTTGAATAATTTTGTTGACGCGAAGTTCGCTACCGTCCTGCTCATCACAAGAGTGGTCTGTGTTGTAAATGTAGCCAAAAGCTGATATATCGCAGTCTAATTGCGCCTTATGTGAGTCCCTAAAGGAAGACGCAACAAGAAGAGCGCAAAGGTGGAGATATTTTAGTGTGTGTACTTACTACAACATATTTAAGGCAAGCAAATGCGTGTGCAGCCATGTCCATCGGACCAATCAGATAGTGTCCTCGGGCGAGCTTCGACTCGATTGGCTTGTAAATCTTCCGCCTAGCTTGTCAGAGTATTAAGCCTGGTCGCAGTTTTGTGCGGCAATATTACGTGTGCTGCCTGTGCGCGGATCGATAGTCTGGCGTGAGCGTGACTCGCTTTGGCTGCCTGTTAGGGCGGTCCCTAACAGTCTGAATGTTCAACACTGGGAGAGCTCAATGACCTCGATTAATCCCAACTCTGGAGTAAAATATTAAATTTAATCTGATGGCAAAATACAGCCTAGGCCACCTGAGCTGAGCGTAAGTTGACGAGGACAAACAACCCATCCACATGTAAAATACACAACCCCGTCCCTAACTCCACGCGTACTAGGGTCACATCTCCAATTTCACACAACCGAGAGTGCTATAACGTTTGCCCTCAAGGGGAACCAGTTCAGCCCAAACGTCAGTCATAAGTAGAAACAAGTTATTCGTCGTCTTCCACAACCACCCAAGTTGCGACTATTGGCGCGTCAAGCTCGCTTGGATTGGGGTTTTATGCAATAGAACAACTGCGCAGTCTTCCGCGTGACAAAATTACGCAACATCTCCG